CCAATCTGTGCATGCTCAACTCTGAAAGACAATGCTTTTTTGGAGTTCCATATCTTTGAGGTACAGTCTGGAAACTGGCATCAAACAATAAGCTGATATGATCAGTGCTGAGGATGGAACCCAGGGCCTCACTCATGCTAAGTAAATGCCATACCACTGAGCCACTTCCTCAGTTCCTTTTTCATTTTCCTTTTCTCAGAGATAATATCCTGTAGTAGTCCATATAAGAACATGTCAACATTGTCATTATTTCAGGTGGGATAGTAAATCCAGGTCCTATGAACCTGTGTTGGGCAGAAGCAAATTTCTCCTCCCTGCATTTTAAAAATCACAAGGTTACCCAGTTCTGGCCTGGAATCTGACATCTCACATGTGGCCAGCTTTAACACATGTCCTCTCAGGATACTTTCTCCGTGACCTCTTACTTTCTTTACTATATACATCACAGTTGCACAGCAGAACACGATCACAGACTTCTTTTTCATGCAGTTGGGGAGTTATAAGATGTTTAGGTAAGTCCAACATGATGCACTGAGTTTCATATATATAAGTATTGTTTTCATATTACCTGCAATATGTATCACAGATCCAACAGTGAGGCTTAGAGATTAACTCAGGCTCAAAAATGGTGTGAGTCTCAGTGATAGGATGAAATTAGCAGCTTTGAATATAATTTGGTAATAATAGTTTTATGAAAGATAATTGTTTCCATTCAGACCATGACATAAATAACATGTCAAAATGCCCTACATTAAAAATAGTTGCCTCATCAAGGGATTCTGGGGAGAGGTTTTTTTTTTTTTTTGTCTTTTCTTTTTTGGTGCTGGGATCGAACCCAGGGCCTCATGCATGCTAGGCAAGCGCTGTACCACCGAGCTACATCCCAGCCCATCAAGGGATTCTGCACACAGAAAGTGAAACCCAACTTAACCATGAAAAGACAAGCAGCACCAAACCACAGGAAAAGAAAAAGCAAGACAGTAGAGAGTAACCTATGGGACACAGCTAAGGCAGTCCTGAGAGGAAAGTTTATAGCCATGAGTGCATATATTGAAAAGACTGAAAGATCCCAAATCAATAACTTAATGATACATCTCAAACTCCTAGAAGAACAAAAACAAGCAAGTCCCAAAACAAATAAAAGGAGAGAAATAATAAAAATAAGAGCTGAAATCAACTAAATAGAAACCAAAAAAACCATACAAAGTATTAATGAAACAAAAAGTTAGTTCTTTGAAAAAATAAACAACATCGATAGACCCCTGGCAAACTTGACTAAAATGAGGAGAGAAAAAACCCAAATTAGTAGAATTAGGAATGCAAAAGGGGATAACAACAAACACCATGGAAGTCCAGGAATCATCAAGAGACTACTTGAGAACCTATATTCAAATAATTTGAAATCTTAAAGAAATGGACAGATTCTAGATACATATGACATCAAAACTGAACCAAGAGGAAATTAATCACCTGAATAGACTTAAAACACAAATAAATTGAAGCAGCAATCAAGAGTCTCACCAAAAAGAAAAGTCCAGGCCTGAATGGATTCTCTGCTGAATTCTATCAGACCTTAAAGAAAAACTGATACCAACCCTCCTTAAACTGTTCCATGAAATAGAAAGGGAAGGAAAACTGCCAAACACATTTTATGAAGCCAGTATTCACTTATCCCAAAACCAGGCAAAGACACCTCCAAAAAGGAGAACTATAGGCCAATCTCCTTAAGAACATTGATGCAAAAATCCTCAACAAAATAATGGCAAACCGAAATTCAACAACACATCAAAAGATTATTCACCACGACAAGTAGGCTTCATCCCAGGATGCAGGGGTGGTTCAACATAGAAAATCAATAAACGTAAATAAACCACATTAAAAAGCAAAGAAAAAACCACTTGATCATCTCAATAGATGCAGAAAAGCCTTGATAAGATCCAACACCATTTCATGATAAAAGCTCTAAGAAAACTAGGAATAGAAAGGAAAGTACTCAAACATTATAAAAGCTATATGACAAACCTACAGCCAGCATTATACTTAATGAGAAAAACTGAAACCATTCCCTCTAAAATCAGGAACCAGACAAGGATGCCCACTATCTCCACTCCATTCAACATAGTACTGGAATTCCTAGCCAGAGCAATTAGGCAAGAAGAAGGAATAAAAGGAATACAAATAGGTAAAGAAAACTGTCAAAATATCCCTATTTGCAGACGACATGATCCTATACCTTAAAGACCCAAAAACTCTATCAGAAGCTTCTAGACATCATCAATAGCTATAGCAAGGTAGCAGGATATAAAATCAACATAGAAAAATCATTAGCATTTCTATACACTAACAAGAGCAAACGAAAAAGAATGTATGAAAACAATTCCATTTACAATAGCCTCAAAAAAATCAAATACCTAGGTGTAAACCTAAAAAAGATGTGAAAGACCTCTACAAGGAAAACTTACACTTCTGAAGAAAGAGATTGAGGAAGACTATAGAAAGTGGAGAGATCTCCATGCTCATGGATTGGTAGAATCAACATAGTAAAAAATGTTGATACTCCCAAAAGTAATCTACATGTTTAATGCAATTCCATCAAAATTCCAATGACATTCATTAAAGAGATTGAAAAATCTACTGTGAAATTTTATAGGAAACACAAGAGCCACAAATAGCCAAGGCAATACTCAGTCAAAAGAACAATGCAGGAGGTATCACAATACCTGACTTCAAACTATATTACAAAAGCAATAACAATAAAAACAGCATGGTACTGGCACAAAAACAGACATGAAGACTATGGAAAACAGAATAGAGGACCCAGATATGAAGCCACAAACTATAACCAACTTATCTTTGACAAAGGAGCTAAAAATATACGATGGAAGAAAAGACAAGCCTCTTCAACAAAAACTGCTGGGAAAACGGTTTAGCAGTCTGCAAAAAACTGAAACTAGATCCATGTATATCACCCTATACCAATATTAACTCAAAATGGATCAAGGATCTTAATAATCAGACCACAAACTCTAAAAGTTGACAGGAAAGAGTAGGAAATACTCTGAGTTTAGTAGGTAAGTAAGAACTTTCTCAACGGAACCCCAGCAGCACAGCAACTAAGAGATAGCATAGATAAATGGGACCTCATAAAACTAAAAAGCTTTCTGTCATCAAGAAAAGATGGTCTCTAAAACTGAAAGAGGAAAAACCCCCACCCACCAGAGTGGGAGAAAATATTTGCCAGCTAACACACAGACAAAGGACTGATAACCAGAATATAATAGGGAACTTAAAAAAAACCTAAATTCTCCCCAAAAGGTGTTGGGAGGATGGGGAAAAAGGAACCCTCTACACTGTTGGTGGAATGTAACTAGTACAACCACTCTGGAAAAAAATTTGGAGGCTACTTAAAAAGCTAGACATTGATCTACCATTTGATCCAGCAATACCACTCTTGGGGATATACCCAAAAGACTGTGACACAGGTTACTCCAGAGGCACCTGCACCCATGTTTATTGCGGCACTATTCACAATAGCCAAGTTATGGAAACAGCCAAGATGCCCCCACTGACGAATGGATTAAGAAAATGTGGTATCTATACACAATGGAATTTTATGCAGCCATGAAGAAGAACGAAATGTTATCATTCGCTGGTAAATGGATGGAATTGGAGAACATCATTCTGAGTGAGGTTAGCCTGGCCCAAAAGACCAAAAATCGTATGTTCTCCCTCATATGTGGACATTAGATCAAGGGCAAACATAACAAGGGGATTGGACTTTGAGCACATGATAAAAGCGAGAGCACACAAGGGAGGGGTGAGGATAGGTAAGACACCTAAAAAACTAGCTAGCATTTGTTGCCCTTAACGCAGAGAAACTAAAGCAGATACCTTAAAAGCAACTAAGGCCAATAGGAAAAGGGGACCAGGAACTAGAGAAAAGGTTAGATCAAAAAGAATTAACCTAGAAGGTAACACACACGCACAAGAAATTAATGTGAGTCAACTCACTGTATAGCTATCCTTATCTCAACCAGCAAAAACCCTTGTTCCTTCCTATTATGGCTTATACTCTCTCTACAACAAAATTAGAAATAAGGGCAAAATAGTTTCTGCTGTGTATTGAGGGGTGGGGGAGAGGAGGGAGTGGGTGGTAAGGGAGGGGGTGGGGGCAGGGGGGAGAAATGACCCAAGCCTTGTATGCACAGATGAATAAAAAAATATAGTTGCCTCAGCTGGGCATGGTGGTATGAACCACATGCCTTTAATCCTAGCTACTTGGAAGATGGATGTTAGAAGTTCATGAGTTTGAGGCCAGTCTAGGCAAAGTTAATGAGATCCTACCTCAAAGACAAAATAAAAAACAAAATGTCTGAGGGCATAGCTCAAGTAGTGAAGTACATGAAGTCTTGGGTTCAATCTTCAGCACTGCAAGAAAAGAATTTTTGCATCAAAACATCATGAAATACTTCACTTTGATTCAAATAGGAAGAAAGAGAAGAGTAATAGAAGTCATAAAATAAATACGCCCAGTGCTTTCTGTCTGGCCAACATTCTACTAAGGACATTGCATACTATTCACTTAGCTAATCCTCTTCAGATTTCTATGAGTTAGATCATGCTACTATCCCATATACCTTTGAGAAAACTGACAAAAAGCAGCTAAGCAACTTTCCCAAATTTATACAGCTTGTCACTGGATGAGCCAGGAGAATCTCTGACAGCAACTAAAATTCAAAAGATGTATATAATTTACAATGTATTTGCTAAACTGAAATTAATGGCTATAACTCATCCAAGGGTAAGAAAGGGAACTGAGAAATTCAGAAAGAGATCCTTGTGTTTTCTACCAGTCACATCTTTCCTTAGAGGTGGTGAGGACATTAGAGAAGAGATGCTGAAGAGAGACTTGCCCATTAATACAGAACTTGCTACTTTCGTACCTCTTCTCATTCTCAAATGTTCTTTGGTTATCCCTTTAGACTATAGTGTCGTCCACGATGTTCCCATTGCAAGGTGCACAGATGTTGCAGATGCTGGAGAAATCCTTGATCAAGAGCCTTCCTGAATCCTTAAAGGTAACACAGAAAATACCAGGGGAAGCAAAGGGAAACTCCCTGGAAAAAAGACGAGACTAACATTTATTCTGTATTTATTTTGTGGTAAGCACTATTTCATATCTTCTCCCATTTAATTTGCACTATCTCTCTCCAAAATATTTGCACTTAGGTCCATGTTGTTGATGCAAAAAGTGAAGGCTCAGTTTTGACCCAACATCCCAGCAATAATAAGTTGCAGAGTAATGATATGAACACGAGTGTACATGAGTCTGAACACTGTCTTTTGCTCTGTGGTGACTAAAAAATTATTCCCTTATTCCTTTTCAAGGAACATTCCATAATAGTACTTGAAATTTGCCCAGAGTTTTCCACCAATATTAGCTGAGATTATATATTAATGTTTAATTTGTTCTCTGTAAAAGAACAATTGCCAGTGAGAGGTTAACCATGTGGAGTCTTTTTGAAATTAGTAATGTCAACTCTTATTTTTACTTAAATTTCCCAATTATTTTGTACTTAATGCAAATCAAGCTATTTTGGGACTGGCTCCTAGTATCTTCCATAACCTATTACAATTGATTAGATCTTAGAATTGAATGAAACATACAGATATAAATGCTTACATCCAGAATTGTTTAAGAACAACTCTAATGTTAGATTCATATTCCTGCTTTTATTTTTTTATCAACAATAAAAGAGGTATGGCTTACTCTAGTGGAACCTCTAACTATAACTCCATGTGTGTGTGTGTGTGAGTGTGTGTGTATGTATGTATGTGTGTATATATGAATTTAAGGGAATTATTTCTAGATTTCTATTGATTTCCTATAAAATCCACGCATTTTAAATAAGATGAATGCATCTAACTTTCTCATTCTCTAACAGAGTTGTTTTTCCCTTGTAAAGGAGAAAAATATTAGCTTTCTTTTATTTGTATAAATTATCTTTCATTTATTAGAAATAGACTGGCCCTGTTATTTAGTTAATCTGAAAACAAAATGATTTCTAAAACTAGTGGGGTAGACCCAACTAATATAAATCCATACTGCCCAATTATGTAAATGTCTCCACCTGAAAATCCTTAAGACCTAGGCAATCTCCCAGAGAGACAGCAAACTTTTCTTGGAGATTACATCAGTTATACCTTGATGGACTATAGCCTGGGATATTTTTATGCTGACTATTTTAAAAAATTCTCCAGGTTGAAAGTTTTTCTTCAATCCCCTGCAACAGAGAATATTTTAAATTAAAATTTCCATTTCTTGTGTTCATTGGGATCCAAACATTTTGAGAAAATATTTGGGTTTTCCCAATAGTCTTCTCTGGAGCATCTATGTGGTGAGAGAAAGTGGCTGTCTTGGCCCCTCAGAATTCCTCATTTTCTCCTAGTGGGACTCTAGAATGTTTGTATGCCAGCATTTAAATGGTTAGAACCTAGAACAACCTATTACTCAACATTTACTTGAGGGGCATTTAAGAATATGTCTATCCATTCTTCTAAGTATCAGATATTTACATGTATTGTATTGCAGGTGTCAGTTCCAATTGATTCAAATTATTGTATCTGCCTCATTATGTTCTGCTCACTATATTTTGAGTTCATTAGAAAAAGGGGGTTTAATTAATTAGTTACATGGATTTAAGTAACTTAGAGATACTGTGTATTTTCTCTTTCTCCTTGCTCTAACACCGATATTTCATGTGGGGTGAGGAGTACCAACAGGGAAGAATACTAATGTAGTCTTTAATCATTGTTTATTCATGATGGAAGCCATTAAGGTGTACACCATCTCTTTGATCTTTGGTCATTGACATATTACCATGCTGTTATCTACTGAGTCTTCATGTTTACAGTTCTCACAAGGTTGATGCTGGTATCCACTACTGAATTCCTCACCTTCTTCCTTCTCTTTTACTCCTCTCTCCCAATAGCCTGTCCATCACAGCATGGGTGGAAATCCAAGACAGGTTCCATGTTATGAGACCCCAAAGTCCATTCTCTTGAGTACTAGAATATAGCCTTTGTTGGTTGGTGGGAGTTTACTGACTCCACAGGATAATGTGGAAATATTTGTTAAAGAGATTTAAGCCTGTACATGATCTTTGGATCAGAAATGACTCTTCTGCATTGTCTAAGAAAGCATTAGATACCCATGCAAAGATTCCTGTGCTTGAGCATGTTCTAGGAAGAATTATTTGTCAAAGTGAAAAGTTGGAAACAGGTGAAATGCCATTAATTGTCATGTGAATAAATGAAGCATGAATCCTACTCAGCCATTAGAAAATAATTAAATATTAATTTTTATGTTTGTGAATATTATATATTTGGTGGGGGGAAATAACAAGTATTAGTAATTTTATTTTTATAAAAATTATACTCTATGTATGCATAGAAGAAAGTATAGAAAAGATTCAAAAAGATATTAAACCCTAAAATAAAGGATGGGGCTTCTAAATCATTAATTTTATTTGCATATTATTATGTGCATTATGACTCACATTTGATGGAGAGAGAAAGCTGTCATCAACTGAGGCTTAAAAATAGTACATGGAGATTGTTTAACATGGGTTCTCTGGTTGGCTTTCTTCCATCACAAAATGTCAGTTTTTAGAAATAATCTGATCAAACAAGGTACCTTGCCATTCCTTCCTAATAAACTGACCTTCTCACTTTTCTTGGAGTCCTGCAGGTTTATGGTACTGTCTATCACATTAACCATGGAAATCCATTCAAGCTAAAGGCCCTAGTAGACAAGTGGCCTGATTTTAATACAGTTGTTATCCGCCCTCAGGAGCAGGTAAGATGCCAGTTGTGGAACAAATATGTTTCTGTGTTCATATTTGCTGTGTGTGTGCTAATCATATGCCTGATAGTATGGTAGAACCTATGGATTCAGAAGTGAATCACAATGATACAAATGAGTCCCTTTTCTTAATAAGATACCATCCTGGTGGAAAAGAAAGATAAACAGGTAAAGCACAACTTTGTGTATGAAGGAACAGAATATGTACAAGGTACAGAAATTGCTCATGCAAAGGTGTATTAAATTAGGGAGATGAGAAGTGGAGGTTTCAAGATAAAGTTAGAGACATTTCTTAGGGAAGATTGCACCTAAACTTTATTTTTTAAGTGAATATATTTTTGTTAGGCTGACAAGGGAATGTTATATTCTAACTGGAAAAGGCAAAATATAAAAGTGAGATACAGAACAATGAGTGAGGGTGACCACAAAGAGCTAAATTATAGTGCTAGAATTTCTATACGCAACTAAGAAGAGTTTAAATTGATGATATTAAGTAGTTAATAAATTTGAAAGATAAAAATTCATAACCTCGTTGGGAGCTAGTGGTACACACCTATAATCCTCACTAATTGGGAGACTGAGATCAGGATGATTGCTGTTTGATGTCAGCCCACACAAATAGTTTGCAAAACCCCATTTCAACCAATAGCTGGGTGCAGTGGCATATACCTGCAATCCTAAGCAACATGGGAGGCTGAGATTGGGAGGATTGCTGTCCCAGTTCAGCCTGTGCAAAAAAAAAATAAATAAATAAAAATTTTAAAAGTTTGTGAGACCCCATTGTAATAGGAAAAAAAAACCAGAAGGTGGACTGGAGTAGTGGGTCTGTCATTCCAGCTAAGTGGGAAGCTAAAATTGGAGGATCGCGGTCCAGGTCAACGTGGTCAAAGTGAGATCCTAGATCCAAAATAACCAGAGCAAAAAGGACTGAAGGCATGACTTGAGTGGAAGAGCACCTGTGTAACAAGCATGAAGTCCTTAATTCAAACTCCAGTACCACCAAAAAAATTATAACCTTATTTTAAAACATCAAAAATAGAGGGAGAGGTAGAGCAAGACAGTAGAACAGGTATCTCTAGCAGTCATCTCTGCATAGAAACACCAATTTGAATAACTGTGCACAAAATTACCTTCACAAGAGATAACATCGATGAGAAATTGAAGTATGTGGTTGTAGCATTATAATAAGAAAAGGTCACATGGAAGAAGGAAGGAAGAACACTCCATCTCTGGTCTCATGCAGCAAAGTGTGGAAGGACACATCGTCTACTTGGGGGAAAAAAAGGAAGGTAAAACAGATCTTTGCCTTGGATCCCAACCTGGCCCACCACACCCTAATCCCTATACTCCACTTCTCACCCAACATAAAAACAGCATCAGGTACATTTCAAACTCCAGAATGGTACCCATAGGAGTGAGCTTGTAGACTTGCCTTGGTGCCAGGTGACACCTTGCAGCCCTAGACTTCAGGCCTAAGAGGTGGACTTGGTCTCTTAGCCATACCACTGTTAAACTGGCTTCTCTAATCTCAATGACTCTGGGATCTGGACCACCCTCAGAAACAGGCAGACATGGCCCACAGCAGATGTGTGGTTTCTGCGCTCTCTAGGTGAGTCCAGTTGTGACCAGGACAAAAAATTTAACTGAGATTGAAATAATAAAAAATTAAACAAATTCTGAAACTAAAATATTAAATTAATGAGATGAAAAAATGCAGACCAGGCTTTGTGGTACATTCCTGCAATCCCAGCTCTTGGGAGGCTGACACAGGAATATTGTGAGTTCAAGACCAATCTGGACCACATAGTGAAACCCTGGGTCAAAAAACAAAAATAAACAAAAAATTCAATAGAGAGTACCAACATCAGAAATGATCAGTTGGAGAAATAATTTGTGAACTCAAAGTTAATTTATTTGAAAATATAACAGCAAGTTGTCTGAAAATGAAATCAATAAAACAACTTACAACACTACAAAAATATTTAGAAGCACATTTAACAAAGGACAAACCTGTAACAGAGTGATTAGACAAATTAATGCAGACAAAAATATATGGAAAGATTTTGCATGTTCATGGATTGGAATAATTAATAATGTTAACATGTACATGCTACCCAAAGTGATTTACTGATTTAATGCAATCGCTATCAAAATAGCACAGAAAAACAAATTTCACTCATATGTGAAATTAAAATATGTTGATCTCATAGACGTAGACAGTAGATGGCAGTTGCCAAGGGTTGGAGTGGGTGTGGAGGGTTGAAGTAATACTGGTCAAAGGATACAAAATTGCAATTAGAACAAAATATGATCAAGATGATTATAATGTAGCATGATGACTATGGTTAATAACTATTTTATCCTCACAAAATGCCATAAAATTCATGACTGTGAGGTAATGCATAAGTTGATTAGCTAGACTTATTCATCCCACAGTGTATATGTGTAGTCAGTCATGAGTTGCCTAGTGAGTTTTCAGTCGACAATGGGCTGCATAGACAGCAGTGGTCCTATCAGAATAGATCAACTAGTGGCATTGTAGCCATTTAGGTTTGCTAAACACAATCTGTGATGTTAGCATAGCAAAACCACTTAAGTCATTTTCCAAAATACATCCCTATAGTTAAGCAATGCACAACTGTACTTCTGAACACATTAGACATCATAAATATATACAATTTTGTCTATAATTTAAAAATCAATTGTAATTTTGAAAAGAAGATACAAAATAGAAATAGAACATAAAACAAACATGGTATTATACTTTTAATATGAAACAAAGTATTTAAGCATTATTAAATTATACATAAAGTGAAAGAATTTACATTAATGCTAAAACCCAAATTTAAATAAAATAATTTATCTTTCATATGTGATCTTAAGCCACAAAATACATCAGTATTTTCATTACTGACTTGAGAGTATATTTTTTGTGCAGCATTTTCCAACTATTTTTTAGAGTTTTCTAATTCTATTCTAGTGGCAATATTTTTTCTGCTTCCGTTTTCAAAATAATTTTATCAGTTGTTTAATAACATGAGGGGATCTTTCTGAATATATGATTTAATTTTTGTAAGCTATAATTAAGTTAACTTTAGTGTCTTTTAAAAAACATTTCTGTTTTTACATTTTTGTAAAATTAATTTTTTAATATTGGGCTGGGGGTACATTGTGACATTTACAAAAATTTTTACAATATATCATAGCTGAACTTACTCCCTTCGTCATTCTCCTTTAATGCCCCTCTCCCCATACCTGGAACAGATTTACATACATGTGTGCACAGTATTTACATCATATCTATCCTACTATACCCTTTCCTTATATCCTTCCCCCTCCCACTGGTACCAGTTCCCAAGATGGGACCTGTTGCCTTCCTGTTCTCTGCCTTTGAGAAAAAAATGACATTTTTGTTTGTTTAAGACAGCTATACAGGGTGTTTCACTATGACGATCTCCATGTATAAATGCATTATAACCTGAATTGGTTCATCTCCTCTACTTCTCTCCTTTCTACCTTAGACCACTTTTTGTGTGATTTCAACAGGTTTAAAAATTCTTTGTTCCTGTATAGGAAGTACACCAAACATATTCACCTTACTTCCTTCTTTTACTCTCCCTCTCTCATATGTGACCTCACCTTAACGTAATCTGTTTTTCAAAATATTGTTTGTATTTGTATTGAGTCTACATTCCACATATGAGAGAGAAAATGCAGCCTTTGGCTTAAAGAAAGCATTTCTAATTGGTTTTCTTACATGTCATTGGAGATTTTAATCCAGGATTATATATCAAATTTATTACTGTCATGCTTATAGTTTGTATGTTCTGAAAGTATTTGAATTGTAGTAAAATTCACTCTCATGGCAGAAGCTTTCCTTCCTCAGCTGCTTTTCTTTTCTGTGTGTTGAGGTTGATTGAGATATAGAAGAATATGATCTAAATGAGTGTGTCTATGATTTGAAATATTATTGCAGTATGTGAGTTAGAGTCTGATATTCTTCTGGTCTTCTTCACCATGATTTGAATATTTGAATCTCTAATCTTGATTTCATTATTTAATTCAGAAATAATTATATTGCATCAATAAGAATACTAATATTTTGTTACTGAAACATGTCACAGTATAATAGAGCTGCATTATAATCATATCTATGAGGAATGTATTTTATCCCTTATTTCTCAATGATAACAGGATATGACAGATGACCTTGATAACTACACCAATACTTACCTCATCTACTCCAAGGACCCTCAAAACTGTCAGAAATTGCTTGACTCTCCAGAAGTCATCAACTGGAAACAGCACTTGCAGATTCAAAGTAAGTTTGATGAATGAGATGTGTGCTGGCTCACTTTTGTGTCCTGAAAAGCTCCCCACATGACTCATTCCTCTTTTCTCCAAGTTCTAGATCCTCAGCCTTCCCTCAGTTTGACTCAGCTACATCTATACTTGCAAAGAAGTGATTTCATGTAGAAAAACATTATTCCTGTTACCAAGAATTTATGGTATATTTTACAGCTATGCCCAGAAACATTGGGGTGATTGGGTGCCACAAGAAACCTTCACTTCTGGCTTCTTCCTGAAATAAGAACGATAGTTCATTGTGTCATAGAGCCACCAAGGACAACGTGGTGGTTATAAGCATGTCCTCTAGCATCATACTCCCTAAAATAGCATCTGCCTGATACTTGCTGTGTGATCCGATCCTGTCAAAATGACTTTCCCTCCCTGAAATGATGATTTTCAGATATAAAAGAGATAACAGTACCTAAACAAGAGACACTGAAAAGATTAAACGGCACTGTGAATAGGAATAGATTAGTTAAATACTGGGATGTGTCAATAAATACCTGCTACATAACAAACCCCATGATTAAGGGAATCAGATATTTGGGTTGTGCTTTGCAGGCAGTTTCTCTACTGATCGCTTCTGCATATATTCATGTACTATGTGACCATTCACACAATGGCAGCACCAAGTCCAGAATGAACTTTTCTCACTTTAAGCCTAACACTTCCTACTCCACTGGAGAGCTCCTCTCTAGAATGTATTTAAACCATTACATGTCTCCTTATAAATTCACTATGAGTTGTCTTATAAACCTATCTAGGTTCACAGTCCAGTCTGAATGAAGCAATACAAAATCTCACAACCATTAAATCTTGCAAAGTTGAACGCTCAGAAAATCTTCTCTTTATGACATCTGACTCAGTCAAGAAACTGGTTCCTAACCTGCTGGATACAGCAAATTTATCACCAACTGGTGGCAAGCCCAAGGCCATGTGAGTTTGATAAAAGCCACTCTACACCACTCATATCTCTCCACTGTAGCCTCCCAATGTCTCTCCCTACTTTCATTCAGCTTTATTACAATCAGAATAAGCAGTCAGAATAATCTTTTTATAAAAGTATAACTCGGACCACATTCTGCTCTGCTTAAAAGCCTCCACCCTCTCCCTTCTCACCAGGGATACCAGGGATAAATTAGTCTTCTGTCTACCAATTTGACCTTTTCTGTTCTTTCTCACTTCCTCCAACCATACTGCCCTTCTTTCTGTCATTTTATCTTCATAAGCTCATCCACATTCCAGCACTTTGAGTTTTCTGTTTTCTCTATTGTTCAAGATAATCGAGGTGAGAACAAGAATGTATCCTTATACTCATGAACTTTTCTTTGTTTTTGGACCCTCCCTAGCAATGAAGACATGTTTAAATTTTCATCTGTGGATGTTACCCATGCTGCCTTGGTAGACAAATTATGGCTTTTTGGTGGCAATGAAAGGAGCCAGAAATTCATTAAGCGCTGTATAGAGACTTTTCCAAGTTCCTGTGTCCTTGGACCTGAGGGGAACCTTGCATCCTGGACGCTAATGGATCACACTGGAGAGATGCGAATGGGAGGCACCATGCCTGAGTACCGGGCCCAGGGCCTTGTAACCTATGCTATTTACTTACAGGGCCAGCTTATGGACAAACTTGGTTTTCCTTCATATTCTCATGTAAACAAGAACAACATAGCAATGCAAAAAATGAGTTATACTCTGAACCATATCCTCATGCCCTGTAGTTGGAACCAGTGGAAGTGTGTGCCTCTGTAAACTGGTCTGATCACAACAGCATTGGGTGGGCCTGAGCATGTAATAACTGCAGAGTTGACAAAAATGAAGAATAAATTGTAATCAGCAGCAAAGGAGTGGGTGCTGTGTGGATTCTTTGGAAGCAGTATGAATGGTCAACAGAACCACCATAGATCCTGTGTTCAGATTGCCCTTGGAATTCCCTTAGGTTTCTCAGCTTGAAGCAGGCCTAGGTCCTCCTGCATTGAACCCATGTAATTTAGCTCCTTACAGTTCCAGGATATCTGTGATATTCCTTCATTGACTACATAATGTTTTAAATTGCTTCTTGTGGAGCTCCTAGTGCATGGTTATGGATATCCCTGATAATGTTAGTGATGATGGGGAAATAATATTTTATGGCCATTATGACTTATTCCTCTCCCTCCGTATGGCCTTTTCTCCAGTAATCAGCAAGTAAGCATTCCTCATTAGATCTTTAGGGAGTAGCTTCTCCTTTCTAGCTGCTTTATGGGTATGTTAAATTACACACAAATTACTTGGGATATGAGGTAAAACAATATACATGACATAGCAAGAATAGTTATTAAGAAAAAACTAAGTTATTATATTACCCAGTCCTTGGTAGTAGAGTGGCTCAAGTAGTAGTGTGCCTGCCTAGCAAGAGTGAGTTCAAATGCCAGCACTGCAAAAAATGTTATTAAAAAGTACCTATTAGTCAGTCCTCTCCCAGCTTCCACTCCAGGGAAAATGATCTGATGTTGCTTCTAAAAATTTGACTTCTAAATGCCTGAAACTCTTAAGTGATGAGGAGTTTTTACACTTGATTGTACAAGTGTAAGCTAAGCAATTCATGATTGGGAGAGTACAGGGTAAGTATAAGATGGGATGCCCCAGACACATGGACCTTTATTGAGGGGGCAAGAAGGACTGCAAGGACACCTGCCATCCCATTTGACCTTGCCACATTCAGGACACTTGAACTTTATGAAGTTCAGATGATTGTCTCATGAGGGAGTCTATCGTTGGTGGGAATAACAGGGAGCTATTCTTTTAGGTTAGGTGGGATTTCTGGGGTGGTCTCCTGTCCTGCTACTTCAAGAGAAATACCACTCACCACTAGCACTGGGCAGCATAGACACCTCTGGAATGAAGGTTACCACCCCATTAAAAACATCTTCTCAGATGAGCATGGGTGCTCATGCCTTAATCCTAGCTAGTTGGGAAGCTGAGATTGAGAGGATCATGATTCCAGACCAGCCTAGGCAAAAAAGTTTGGGAGACTCCCTCTCAATGTGAACAAAGCTAAGTATGGTGACACACCTGTCATTCCAGCAACAGCAGAAAGCATAAAATAGGAGGATTGAGTCTCAGGTTGGTCTGGACAAAAAGTAAGACTCTATCTCCAAAATAACCAGAGCAAAATGGGCTAAAGGCATTGCTCAAGGGGTAGAGCATCACCCTAGTAGGCTTGAAGCCTGAGTTCAAATCCCAGTACACCAATTCCCCCACCTCCCCACATACCTATTCTCTTCTGGTCTCCCCAAACCTGGAATGAGGCTATGAAATTGGAAATGAACTCCCACTCTTCCCACTCATCCCCAACTGGCAGTCAGAGACTGGAAGTTCAGTTTAGAGGAGGGTTTCTTTCAAATGTAGCAAAATTCTGTGTTGTAGGTCCTGACCTGTGCATTATAGAATGTCGGCAGGAACTACCCACAAGATGCCAGTAGCATCCTCTATTATCCTTTTGGTATATGAAAATGTCTTCAGATTTCACAAAATGTCACCTGGAGGCAAAATTGCCCCTAGTTGAGATCCACAGGTTTAGAGTAGTGTTCTCAAACTTGAGCATGCATCAGAATTATCTGGCATAGTAACTGGGTATGGTAGTACATTCCTGCACCCAACTTCTCAGAAGGCTGAATTGAGATGCTTGCTTGAGCCCAGGAGTTCAAGGCCAGCCTAGGCAAATAGTGAAGTCTCCATGAAAAGGAAGGAAGGAAGGAAGAAAGGAAAGAAGGAAGGGAGAGAAGGAGGGAGGGATTAATTAATATTCATATATCAATTATAAGGATGTGTGGCAAGATTGCTCAATGGAAATATCAGGTCTGTCTTCTGCTTTTCTTTTTTTAGGCACCAGGGTTTGAGTTCAACACCTCTAGGCAGGCGCTCTACCACTTGAGCCAGGTCTGTCTTCTAAAAGATGTAAATGTTGAGTAAGTTATTAACTCTCCATATCATAGTTTTTTAAGCTATGAAATGAAGACCTGGAATTTAAGAATTCTATAAACATTAGACAGACATTATTCTCATTACAAAGCACTAGAAGAGTACAATGATTGTGTAAGGGAGGCACGAAATGGTTAGCAAACCAGAAACAAGTTTTATAGTTGCCTGAGTATGACTTGAAAATCAGACCCAATATGATTTGTTACAGATACTTAGGGACGTCAAACTGTACTTTCTTCATTTCCTCATGAAACCTGCTGACCAGAAAACATTAGAGATGACTTTTTTTATTAAAGGAAAAGAATGTCTTCAGCTATTGTGTGTTGCACAACAGAGAAACACAGATTTATGAGTAAAGAAAAGAATTGTCCAATGTGAACATTCACTTGGGATGAAATCAGACCAGAAGGATTTTTATATTTGTGGTGACATCATTAATGTCCTCCTGGGCCCCAAATTCAAGGGCACATTTTCATCCACACTGGTTAGCACCAGCACAACTCCACAGCTGCTTGTCTGGCGGCTTCTTCATGTCATCCCAGTCAATTACATATATGACCTGCAGTCACCCAGGTTTTTTGATAACTGAGCTGTAGACAAGGACATTTTCTTTTACTTATTCTGCTTTTCCTTTTTTCAGTGGCTTTGCCAATAGTAGGAAATAATATGTTCTCTGTATTTTAGTTAGAAATATTATGTGGCTGAATTAAGACCCCACCATAAATACTGTTGGTTTGGAAACAATGCAAAACAGCAGATTCTGCATTTAAGATTTTGGAATTTAAACAACTGTGTTGCAGAAAGGAAAGAAGGGGGTCCTAATAATCATGGACTCCCAGGGTATGCACAGCCCAGTTCCTTAAGTTCAAAACAGCAGGCTGTCATTTCTGTGTGAGCATGAGCTAAGCCCTTGCCTCCAAGAAATCCACATGGTCAACAAGAAAGTAGACAATTTTTGACACTGGAATAGAGAGAGGTGCCTCAGGTAAAGAAAACACACCTGGGACACCAGCATGTGGAAAGAAACCTATGACACCTGTGAAACCAAGAGGATAGTGGAACACTGCAGGGAAAAAGAGTCATACTTTGTACTCACAGGTCAGCTGACTTCAAAAAGCCTACTTGAAAGAGATGCCTACAATAAAGACATTTCAAAGGAGATTAAAGCACTGGGGCTGTGGCACAAGTGGCAGAGCCCTTGCCTAGCAAATGCAAGGCCTTGGGTTCAATCCCAAGTAACATGGCACAAAGGAGAGTAAAGTATTTGTAAGATCTCAACTGTTGAGTCATTAACTTTCTCTAACTACTGAAATTCAGTGCTTTTTTATTATGGGATGACTGGTTCCCTCATAAAATCACTTCTCTATTAATTTATTTATGTTTATAATCCCTCTAGCTACAAACATGCTTTTTGGGATGATTGTTTACTATTACTGCAGGAAATGCTTGAGGAAGGTGTACCTGATGAGTGGATGGGAGGGTGATCTTTTGCTACTGTAAGATCTAAGGGCATCTATCCCACATAGTCTTTCAGTCTTTATGGACATAACTTAGTGTTCCTTGGACCATGCAGGATGATGACTTCTGCTCCTGGCCATTGCTAACACAGGATGGTGAAAAAAGATGAACTATATCTGTGCTTTAAATTCAGCTTGTGAATTCTGGTACTGATTTACAAGTCATTTAAGGAATGAAATTTTAACAATTCTCTTTAGAAATACTATAAATAATATTTACTCTCATTTAGATTATAACCATAATAAATTATATACTTAATTACACTGTATCCATGAACTTATTTTCTCCTGATCATTTCAGTTTCTGGTAACAAAATATTCTCAAATGCTAAGCGTATTTTATAATTCCAATCAATGAAACTTAAAATTTATACATACTGTAAGTCTTAGTGGATGTTTTAGTATTGAATTTTAATAAAATTTCAACTTAAAATAATAAATCTAACTATATTACCCAATTATACCTTTTAGATTACATTTAAAGATTGTTACTCTAATGTACAAGTTATCTCATACATTAAAAGTATATTTGCACTCAAAAATATTTGCAGAATGAGTTTGATTTCTTTAAGCTAGTAGTGCTCAGGCAAGGGTCATTTTTATAGCAGGTGTAAATTGGCAATTGTTGCAGAGACTAGGATTTTCTTATATGGAATGAGAAGAAAAGGCCCACTTACTGCATTGAGTTCTTAAAAAGATTATAAGAGCTTATTCATATAGTACAGTGCATAGTGCCTGGTCACAGTAAATATTTAATAAATATCATCTGTCAACCATCACTGTTATTACCAAAGTGGAAAAATAGAAAATGTACTCTCTGATAATTTGTAAATAATTAATTGACCTATGGTTAAGTTGGTTGCTTTAGAGAATTCTCAGAACATTTACCCAAAACGTTCATTTTGTATTTTCCTTCCAACTCCTCTTATAGCTCTAATATTTTTCAGTCTTCTTTGAGCTAGGACTTTCAGCTAAATTGCTCATCTCTTGAGGGTCATGAATGCTGAAGATTCTAGGGAGTGATACTGTGTCCTTAAAGAATAAGATACTTTATGGAACAAAATTTGCCAGTTATTGATGAGTTTGAGTATCCTTTCAGCAGGCTTGTTAGGTTATTGTTTGTGGCAGGTGATAGAGAAATATCTTAATAACATTATAGTCAACATTCATCAGTATTGTTCTGAGCACTAATGTTATGCTCATTGTTTGTTATACAATATCTCATTTAGCTTCCAATCTTTTGAGGCAGGTCCAAGACCGCCTTCGTTTTGG